TGGTGAATATTCGGTAGTCTTGCGGACAGCACTGCGATAAGGCAGTAAAAATAGAGGCAGCTGCTTGTCCCAGTCCTGTTGGTTTTTGGAAACCACTAGCGAAAGGTTATTAAGGATGGTTCGATTAAACCTCTCCATCATGCTGTCTGATTGGGGAGATAAAGGTGTCGTTTGGGTTTTGTCAATGCCGAGATTTTTAATTACATCCGATGCAAAATTTCTTCCTTGTTCGGAATGTAACTGAAGAGGCTCTCTGAACCTGGTAATCCAAATGCTGTATCATTATTTCTGCTATCGTGACAGCCTGTTGATCAGGAATACGATATGCGTCAGACCACCTGGTGAAATAATCAATAACAACTAGGATGTATTTATTGCCATCAGCAGTTCCTATCAGAAGTCCCATGATGTGGAAGGCGATACGTTCAAAAGGCGCTCCTTACATTTTGACGCTGTAGCTTTCATCGGATACTTTTCTTCGGTCCTTTCCGACCCGCATAGGCATCTAAAGATTGGCACCATTTTTCCGCGTCATTCTTTGCATTAATCCAATAGAAACACTCTCGAACTTTCTGCAACATCTTCATTCAAAAGTGACCTCCTGTTGGACTGTCATCTATTCAAAAGTGACCTCCTGTTGGACATCTGTGTAATTCTTTAAGGATGTCCGCTATCTGGCATCTTGGAAGTATTGGTATACCTTTCCATCATCCGATTTTACCTTCCGGTACAAGACGCGTCTTCGAAAGTGAAGTGAGTCCCAGACAGCCCAATATTACTTCGTCGTAGGACTATAGATCGAAATGTCCTGTCTGCGAGGTATCCTATATGAAGACTGCATTTAAACAGTCACTCCATGGGTCTGGTTAACCCGGGAGCACACACGGCGGGTATGTCATACCCATGTGCATTTTTCTTTTTGTATATTTCTCGCCCATTATTTCATAAAAGGACGAAACTTGGTGTAGCTGAGTTCAAGGTCACATACTTAAATGGGGGAAATTCCTGAGGTGGCAAGTGCAACGGTTTTTTAGGACCAGCATTGTTCGGGCATGTCATACCACGCGTGTACTGGCGTTTCTCAGTGAGTCACTTCGCATTTCTCGTTTTCAAGCTTTTAGTATAAGTTTTTCTTGAGCTGTAAGCATGGCACCGTATATTCCTTACGATGAAGAGATGAAAAGATTGAAAAATCTCCTTGAAACAGTTTCTTCTGATGAGGATTCATTTAGTGAAGAAGAGGAAGATGTTGATGACAAAGAATATAATTAGTAATCATGATTCATCCATATAGAGTAGTGATTCAGATACAGAAACAGAAAATGAAATTCTGGAATGTAGCAATGAGTTTTATGTTGGAAAAAATTGAGTAAAATGGAACAAAAATAAATTCTGGAATAATGTTAGAATTGGCGCCAAAAATATTATAACTAAACTCCCTGGAAATACAAAGTATTCTAAAGACGTCTCAACACCTTTAGAGTCCTTGTTATTGCTTATCGATGAAGATGTATGTTAAAACATGTAGTTGACAATACAAATATTTATATTGATTCAATACGAGAAAATTTCACTCGTGAACGGGATGAGTACTTTTCTCAAAGCCTTAGGGATGCAGCTAATAGAAAATGTTCATTGACCACCGATGAACATGTTAACAATGAACTGTCCCCCAAAAACCTAAAATGACTTACAGGAGGTGTACAGAGTGCCCCAAGAAAAAAGATAGAAAGACTAGATTCATTTGTGAAAATTGTAGCAAAAGTATATGTATGGAACATATGACCTCATTTTGTAAACAAATGTTCAAAGAATTGTAAGTAAATAATTTTTCCTGTCCTTATTGTTTCTTATTTTGTCTAAAATGAAGTATTAACTTGGTTTTACATTTAATTTCTTTTAAAAAACGATTAATTTTTTTTGACAAATTTTTAATTACAGTTTTTTTATTCGGGTATGACATACCCGAATAAAAAAACTCTTGTTCTCGCGTGTTCTCGTGTTCGTCGAATCGGTGCGTGTGCTCGCGGGTTAAGACGACGTTGAATTCGTACGAACAGATTAAGCAGGTCGTATTTGGCTTCGAAGCCGGAACATCATCAGCAGCTTTTTGGGCTGGGTCTTCTAGACAGGGCGTCGCCGTTTCCATGTGATGAACCCTTCTGATGACGGATATTGATGTTAATATTCCTGGAGTTTCTGTATCCACCTGACTTTTCGACTTTCGGGATTCTTGAAATTAAAAGCCAGGTCAGCGATGCATGATCTGTAAGGAGCCGGAATTTTCACCAAAGAGATAATGATGGAAATATTATACGGCTTTAAATATGGCGTGTAACTCTTTCCTGTTGAAACAGTAATTGCTCCCCGCTTTAGATATATACGTACTTGTTCCAGTACTCTACGATACGTTCTTGAGCGTTTCTTTCTCGGGAGAAAGCAGCAAAGACCTTCATCGTGGCGCATTTGTGTCGAGAATAAATGGTTTATGCAGCTGAGAATGCCTCAGGATTGTTGCAGACGTTTAGCCTCCTTCAGTTTGTTAAATGCATGTTCACATTCTTTAGTCCACAAGAACTTTTGCTTGCTCTCTGTCAGCTTGTGAAAAGGTCATACAGTGGAAGAAATATTCATTACAGATCTCCAATGGTAAATGCAAAGTCGCAGGAAACTTCTCAGCTGATGGACATTTTTGAGAAGTCTCCAGTCTTTAACTGCTGGCATTTTATCTGGACCTGTAAACACAGAGATGATATGTCCGAGGTACGTCACTTACTGTCTGAATAGTTTACACTCGGCGAGGCATAACATTATATGGGCTTCTTTCAGTTTCTGAAGCAACTTTCGTAAGATTTTCTAAATGGTCTTAGAAAGTTTCCTGATGTCATTGATGTATTTCAGACAGGCTTCGTAGGATCAACAGGATCTTTATGAAGCGTTCGAACGTTGCCGGCGTATTAGATAATTCAACCTGCATCACTCTGAATACCCCAAATCCTTATGCGTTAGCAAAATAGGTCTTTTCTCGGTCATCTGGATGTATCTCTACATGAAAATAACCACTCTTTAAATTAAGCTTCGGAAACCACTTGCTTCCAGAAAGAGTAGAAAATCGTCAATTCTAGGAAGAGGATAGCTGTCTTTCTTCGTAACCTCGTTCAACCGGCGATAGTCAATTCAAAATCTTGTTGAGCCTCCCTTTCTTTTTGACCAGAACGATAGGAGAAGGCCAAGGACTCTGAAGACTTGATAAACGTCGCTTTCTTGCATGTCGTTTGGAAGTTTTACCTTTCCCAGTTTAGCAATCGGTAGATATCTTGGACTGGTAGATGATCCCCGATATGAATTGTATCCTGTGTAAAACTGGTTCGACCTACGTCGAGACGCGAGTAAGAGAAAACATCTTGAAATTCTTGAAGGACACGCTCGGCAGCACTACTCTCTTCATCGCCTATTGTGTATTCTGCAATAACTTCGAAACTATCAGGTTAGGACTGTTTTACTATTTGGCAAAAGTATTCATGTTAAACAACGTAATCTAATTAATCACGTAATCAAAATTTATGATTATGGTTACAATGACCGTCGCAATACTAAAAGACCTTGTGCGCATTTTAAGGAAACAGGTTACCTGTAAGTAATATACTGTTTTGCACAGTTGGTTATTGGTATTATGTATTCTTTTGTATTGTGTAAAAATCTCTGTAATATCACTACCGATTCATGGTTATTCGCACTTGTTGTCGCTAGTTCCCCGTCTTTCTGAATACACTAGTTGTTTTTACTTAATTCTTCTTTAAAGTTGTAAAATATTAAACAAACTAAATTTTTAGGGGAAAAAGTTATAATTGATTTTTTATTTAAGTTATGCCCAGAATTTAATTCATAACTTTTAACTCAGTTTTAGAAGAGGTAGCGTCTTGTGCGCAGGCACACAAGTATTTAACGCCGTAGACCAATTTTTTTCTTCTTCTTGAACTACGAACGCCACGTGTAGAGCAGAGTTCCACCCTTCTATTCTCCATGGCTCGTGTACATGCGTTCGTTCTTCACCAGGGCCTTCAGCCTTCGTTCTTTACCAGGGCTTGTGTACATGCGTTGAAAAATGTTCTTCAGGTTAGCAACTTATTATTCTGGAAAATAGAAATTAATTGGAAGCCATGTATTTCCTTCCAACAACAGCAATTCATAAAACGTGTAGAGAACTATGCTTTTCATTTGCGTATATTTAGCGCAAACATAATATTATCCTTCGTAAAATAATATTATGTGCAATTAGTGATGTCTGCGTATTCAAATTGCATGGAGAACTCACGCAATCTTTTAATTTGTTTCTTGTTGTTATGATAAAAGCACTAAAACGATTTTACATATTTCTAAAAACGAAAAATTTGCGACAGCTAGATAGCTTTAATTTAAGCTAAATGCAGGATATGGAATTTCTGAAGTGAAGTGTAACAGAATGTCGTCGATTTATTCTTAAATCAGTTTTCTGTCTTCACGTAGAGGAGCTATTTTTTGCGTGGTCGATATTTACTGCTATATTAAAAAGGTTTCAACACGCATTTAGCCAATATCAACTGTTTGAATAAAGGATTTACAGAATAATGATGGTTGACAATAAATGTGTAATAGTATATGGGCTTAATACTAGTTTTTTGAATACCATAATATTAGCCTTCGTTTATTATTTCCAGCTACTAGGATGACGTGTTCATTAACCTGGTGTTTGTCTTAAAAGAGAACAATTAATTATGTTATAAACACATTCTAATTTATGTATTCTGAGAAATGCATTAGACAACCGGAAGAGAATATGCATACCCTTAATTTAATCTAGAAGTATGACTTCCCGAAATTGAAATGCTCAGTGTTTTACATTAGTATTATTCAGATGTACATTTGATTCTAAGAACACCTTCGGAAAAAAGGAATCAAAAATCTTATATTTTTTCTTAACTTGAATAAAAATACATATAACGTTTTCTTTTATATCATAGTATGCAACTGTGGGACAAATGCCGAAAGCTGTGCATTTAATCCTCAAGGAGAGAAAGTGTGCACATGTAAACCAAACTATCAAGAAAAAGATGGAACTTGTGAAGGTATTGTTCCTATTTTCAATTAAAATAAGTACGTACATAATAATAGAAAATTACGAAATATGTGTATTAGTAAAGTGTCAGAAATTTCTAAGAATAACGTTAACACACTTACATTTCTTCAAGAGAAGAAGTGAATTTCCTTCCTTCCAAATTAGCTCGTATACGTTAACAAAATTTTAAAAGCAAAGGTTTGTTCTAACAGCAATGTTCCATAGAAAATATGCAGAATAGCGGTAGTCTGTGACAATTATGTATGCAAATTTATAATTTACATAACTATTCCAGTCGCGAATAAAAGGATTATAGTAAATATTTTAGAGTTACATTATTCAATATGTGGACGCCAAATTTAGGAATAATAAAAAAATTCATTTTTACCCAAAAAAATATCTCGAATACAAAGTTATGTATTCTTAATGTAGGTAGTTCACGATTATGATCCGTAGAGCACCAGAGGAAGCGAATATACAACAAAAAATATTAGAAATATTTCTTCCCGCCAATCCTTTCCTATCACCGTTTTATGCTTTAAAACGTATTTACACATGAAATGTTCTTCTAAACGAGCAACTCAAAATGACCTTGCGAGATAAGTTCTGCCAAATATATCTAAGTGTGTATAATTTTTGTGTCTTTATTTAAAATGGGTGTGCGGCCAAAACGGCAATAGTTGTGAATGCGGAGTTTAAGGAGTAAACGTGTATTCTGGCAAGTGTACTTTTGAACAAATCGGATTAAATCGTTTAGTCAATAATGTTTTATTTAATGTAAATACAGAAACACGTCCGACGATATCGTTTGAGAAATTCGTATACAGTTTGCAAAGAAAATTTCTATCTTCGCGTAATGAAGTTGCCTTTCGAATGGGATATTCTTTTTTCCTAATAGAGATAATTTAAGCAATTAATTTGGCACTAATCCATTTTATATAAACATATTTAAAACTGTGTTCCTCTGTGACAACTCTATGAAAGCATACGAATTGTACTAACGCGCAGAAGTCGCTCAGTGCCAATTTTTAAGTGTTATTTTTTCGGCTATAATAGGGAAAATAATTTACTGTCAAACTCGCTTTTCCTTTAATCGACATAATTAGAGAGTCGGCAGAACCATCACCAAGCTAGGACGTCGTTTCGTCGCGCTCCTGGTTTATTCTCATTTTTCAGCGGAAGTCTTTAAGTCCCAGGGGACAATTTTATATCAATTTGTGTCTGAATATCTACTGCATCGATTGCTGTATTGAATAAGTGTGTGTGATTGGTATTTCCCAAGAAAAATGTGTTTTGTGAGAATAACAAAGAAATCTAGGCTGCCACAAAGTACGGTGTGTGTTTGCCGCAGCTCCGACGGTAGTGTTCCGCCTTCTTGCCACGTGGTTCCCATGGTAGGCCTAGCAAATTGGGATAGGTTTTTATAAGTCCAAAATTGGTGAATTGTTTTTAAAAATTCAATATCTCAGGATCTACTGCACCTAGCATTACAGAATCTTCATATAAAAGGTATGTTTACCCTTTTATTTGAATCTCAACCCTCTAATTGCAATATTTTCAAAAATAGATTGGTCAGCTTAATAACATTTTGTGCCAACTTATAATGTCGTCTCTTTCAACATCCCAGTTGAGTACATGTCTTTACGATTTCTCTAAATTATTTTGAAGCGCAAAGTGTCGGTCCTTCAGGTTAGGACCTCATTATACCTATACAAAAGCAGTAATTAAGAGTCTTATTTTTGAACGACTCTATTGTATTTTAATCGAGATACGTTTCGACGTCGAGGGACATTTCGACGACTTCTTACTACATTTCGACAGTCCTACTAATGACTGTTAAAAGCTCTTTATATGTGTGTTTTTCGTGAGAAATTGTATTTTGTACACTGTATACTTTCATTTTGCATACTGTAATGTTTTAATTATCTGTTTTTACTGCTTTTGCACTAACTTGTTTATTAGTTTTTAAGTCATAATGTTTACCTTTTACTTTAAGTTTTATTTACGGTTTTCTTGTAATGTTTCTGTTTTAATTTCATATGTATGTTTTATTTACTGTAATTCCTTGGTCCTGGGTGTAAAGGGATACTTGCTGCTCACATACTTTACCTTTAGTAAGAAACCTTTGTCAAACATTCTAAGTGTCTCACTGCAATAGTGTCAATTGCATATTAAGGATAAACCTTTCAAAGTATGTCCCGTCAATCAGTGCTTCCAACTGATGGTGATCCTACACACTCACAAAATATATTAGACGCTTCAAAGCTACTGGCCTCTGATCTGCCCTATGCGGAAAAGATTTCTACTTTGTGCGATGATATAAGGCAGGTCGCAACAACAAATAAGCGCACTAAATACCTACTGCCAACAGATCTTCGTGCTAGACTCTTAGACTCCCGGGCCGCACTTCAGACTTAGAGGGTCCAGATTATACAGTCAAGCCTGCTAAGATCGTTATAGGAGTAAATACTTCAACTGTGCTTTGCTGTGAATTGGTTCATCCTCAGTCTTTCTCTACCCTTGCCCAACAGTCACACAATTTGCAGGTACCACCATCCTTGCCAACTGTCTCACAACCGACCTTTGCGGAGGTTCTACGAAATATCAGCAAACCAAGCGTAGTGATCAAATCAAAGTCTAAAAAACCTACTGAAGAACTCAGAAGAGAACTACAACATAAAGTTCCCTTGGCAGAAATACCAATTTATGTCCAAAAAATTCAGCCAACTCCACAAGGAGGATTGGAGGTATTTTGCCAAACTTCAGACGAGATTAATCAACTACAAAAACATCTGCAAAAAGCAGACATAGACGTAGAGGTCAAAAAGCGACAACGACGACGCCCTAGGATAGCTATATATAATGTCCCAGACTGCAGAAAACCAGAAGAGCTCATCTCAGAACTTAGTTCAACATCAGGAACATCAGTCCACCAATACAAGCCACTCTTCCGATTACGAGAAAGACGTCTTAAAAGAGTTAAGTGGGTCATTGAATGCACGACCGAAGGTTTCGCAGCAGCCATTAATACCAGACGTATTTTTACAGCCTGGCAATCTCACGGAATCACAGAATTCTTTGGTGTTAAATTTTGGCTCAGCCAAGACATGTGCAAATCCGATAAGATCTTCTGTGGCTTCTGTTCCGGCTCACATGCAACTAAAGAATGTGCAGCAGAACATCCCTCCTGTATCAATTGTGGAGATTCAAACTGCAGATTCGGAACACGACTCAACTTCCAACATCCAGCCTATGCAACCGAATGTGCTATCTACCAACGGGCAGTCGATACAATCCGACGAACAACAGAATATTAGAGAGATAAGAGAGATATCTTTCTGTAATACTTCTGCAAGTCCGCAAACAACAACCCCATTACCCCTTTACCTCCTTGAATGTCATTAACTTAAAATCATCAGCTCAACGCACACCCATAAAATGTTTGCAAATAAATCTTCAGCGAGCACGTGCCGCAATGTCCCAAACGGCACACTACGCTACAGAAGAAATGATTGATATAATAATTGGTCAAGAACCATACCACAGACACCGCAAAATTGTGGGTTTTCCCCTTCAACGGACAACATTTCAAAAAGAGGATTCAACACAACCGCCTCGAGCTTTTATTACAATCTGCAACCAGGCATGGACACCGATTCTTCTTGCTTTAGAGAGGGATTTTGTGGCTGTCTTACGGGAAATACTTAATAAGACAATAGCGTTAGTATCCATCTACTCCCCTCCTACAGAAGAAGCGGACCATACCATAATACGTATCCAACAGCTAATGCAATCTCATCGTATAGCAAAAATGCTTCTTGCTGGTGATTATAATGCCCATAGCACCACATGGGGCTACGCTGATACGAAACCTAAAAGGCGTCATTTCGAAGACTTTTTCTCAAGCAACAACTTTGTAATTCATAATCAAATAGATGCGCCGCCGAAATTTGATAGGCTCCTCTCTCGTGGTTGGCCAGACCTCACAGTTACTAGTCATCAAATTGCAAATTTAATACGTGATTGGACAGTAGTTGAGGGACAGAGTCTATCGGATCATAACTATATACGCTATAGTATAGCAAGCAGCACTGCAACTAACATCATTCAAAGATACAACCTACCAGGGCGGAAGGTCCGCACTTTCACTTCTATTGTTAGTAACAGACTAACATCTTTCGTTAATCCAATAAGACATGCTGTAAGTAGAGAGACCCTCCAAATATTACGAAAGACATTCTATTAACAATACAACAAGTGTGTGATGAACATCTCCCAAAGTGTACTACCAAAAAGAATTACCGCACTCCATTGGTGGAATAGTACACTGCGTACTCAACAGCAAAATGTCGTGCTCTGCGCCGACGCCTCAAACAAGAACGTAGGCAGCAACTAAAATCCACAACACTAATGATCTACCAACAAGAGCGAGCGTATTACAAACGCATGATCTTAGATGCAAAAATTAGCAGCTGAAGAAAGTTTTGTACAGAAACAACCACCACCTATGGACTCCACCACAGGATTGCGGCAGGAAAACTTTTTAAACCAGCCACCTTACATATATTACCAACACCCAATAGTATTGGCCAATATACAGAAGATGCAATAAAGGCAATCATGTCAGCAGTCTTCACCACAGACAATCCGCAAGAAGACACATTAGAACAGACCACAATCAGGAACCATACCTCAGAAATTGCTACATCAAATGATCCTTACTTCACCATCAGGGAGATTCAGCAAGTGCTGCGCCAGCTTCCCCAGCGCAGAGCACCAGGACCGGATGGTTTTGACTACCGAATTATTAAAGCAATTATAAGCACTAATGTAGCTCTATTTCAATCACTCTTCAATAAGCTCCTGCAAACGGGGACATTCCCTAACAGCTTCAAAATTGGGCAAGTGGTCTTATTTTTGAAAAAGAATAAAGATCCAACGTCTCCAGAGTCGTACCGTCCAATATGTCTACTTTCAGCTTTGGGGAAGGTTTATGAAAAGCTGATCATGACAAGATTGCGGCATCATCTATATGTTACGAAATACTTAAGCCCAATACAATATGGGTT